CACGCAAGCAGGCTGGCCACTTCCGTTTAGGAAAGGGCCAGCCCACGCATTGGACACGGGCATTGGTTGCTTTGTGCGCAAGCGCTGCTGCACTATCGCTGGTCAGCGCTCGCGCACTCACGGGCGAGCTGGAAGGAGCAGGCAACCATAGCCAAGCTGCGCTGCTGTATGCTGGATGGGGCGCATGGTGGTCCTTGGGTGCAAGTGGCATATGTGAGTTGGGGAACGAGGTTGTGAGTGATACGAGAGACATACCTGGTGCTTGACGCGTGGGCCATTGGCCGAGGTTTGCTCGTACTTGGGAAGCTGTTGACATCATTAGCGGCATTGTAGTCTAGGCTAGATAGGATCTGCCATTCGTAGTCTAGGCGCCGAGCGCCAAATAGGATATCAACACTGGTTCTTCGTTGATGATGATGAGGCTATTCCAGCATTGTCAATTATGAGTTTTTGGTGAACTCTTATTTGGTGAAACTCGTGGTGCAATTCTGCTTTTGGTTCGAGGTCACGACTTTCTGGTCTCATGTGTATGATGCTGTTCGATTGCTGAAGCTCGCTATTGCTCATCTTCCTTGCACTATCCGCTAAAGCTCCCACTCGTGTTTGGCTAATCTCTACATCTGCCAAAATCAGCTGCCCTCTTCTCTTCTTCATTTCAGCCTAGGCGGGGCGACGAGTGATCAGCTCATCACCAGTGCCTGCGAGAGAGCCACCTAGAGAGACCCTAGCACAAGCAGTCTCCGGACAGTTATCTAGGTGGGGGCCTACATCAGCCTCTGCCATCGAGGTTCTCAGGTTGGAGGTTTGTCTTGCAGCGCGCGCTTCTTGTGATGCACCCAAGGCCCCAGCAGGAGCAGCTGCCATTCCTACCGGCTGTTGCCTTTTGACGGCGACTGGAACTCGGGGCACCAAGGGATTATATGGCCTGCCTCTGCACATTTGATGCAGGTCCCCTCTTTGAGTTTCTTGGCCCACAATTCGTATGTCATGCTCAATTCCTTCCATGGTTCCCCCTCTTGACGTCCAGGGTGCCATGGATATTTGCGCGGTGCCCTTCCTCTGCCGACTCCATTGCCATTGTTGGCGAGGTTGTAATTTCCTGTACCCCCGCCTTGATGTTGGGGGGCTCGGTCGGTGCTACCTTGTGGGGTTCCATAACCCCTACCTCCCTCTCCACAGCCTCCATTGTTGCACTCCCCCTGATAGCCACGTCCTCTTCCACCCTAGCAACGGCCTCCTCTGCCTCGGCCGCCTCTTCCTCCTCGTCCTCCCCCGCGGACTACAGCAGCGAAATCACCTCCCTGGACTTCACCACTGTCCTCATCCAATCCATACTCAATTTTATCACAAGTTAGGGCCTCACAACCTCCTTCTTCAAACATCACTACCAGGTTGTCCTTGCCCGTAATACTTCCCGCAATAGTCTTACCTTTCCAATGCTTTCCTTTCTCCAAGTCTTTGTACCCAGGACAATTTGCTTCTTGGAGAAATCCAGCCTGATCCACCGCCATCTTGCTAAATTGGTCGTAGGTCATCCCATCCTCCTTGACCTTAGCATATAGGTTGCTCTTGATGGGGTCGGGAGAGCTCTAGCAAAGTTGCTCAGAATCTGCTCAGGAGTCATAATCTGGGGTCTGCAACAGCTCATCCATCGGGCCTTCAAGGCCGACACACTCTTCCGTTTTCGAAGGTGGATGCTGTTAAGCTTGCCAGCGGTCCTCATGGCTTTAGTCTTGTCTTTGAAGCGGTTGGGAAGCGCATCTAGGAAGGTACGGAGAGCGGTTCTCTTTGAGTAAGCCACCATATCACGACCGCAGCCTGCTGCGTTAGCCAGCGACAATGCGAAATCTGCAGCAGCGCCTCCGAGACACGAATGAGCCATCAGAACTTTGTCTTCCTTCGGGATAAATTGGGCGTATGTATGATTGGACTGTCGACTCCCAACGATTAAAATTCTCGTCTCTCTTCCCAAAATACGTGTCAGGGAGCTTCACTTTGATCTTCTCCCTCTTGATCGGCTCTCCTCCTCCCATGACCTTCCCATTTCCGCTCAAGGCCCTCTCTTCGGTGATGGTGTGGGCTATCTTCTTTGCAGCCAGCTCCTCTAGTCGGACTGCATAAGTGGTTGTCCTCTCATTGATCCTGTTGAAGGCAGCCACTGCAAAATGCCTCCACTTGCCCTTCATCTCTTCCTGCACCGCCTCCGTCCTCTCAACGGTTCTTTGGAGCACCGCGGTCTCCCGTGTGGAATGGAGCATGGCGTCTGTGAGGAGGGTGAGCCTTTTGTTCGTGTCTTGTAGTTGTTCTTTTTGTGCTTCCAGCCTCCTTCGCAACGCTTCTCTCTCCTCCTGCAATCTCTTTTTCTCTCCATATTCTCTCCTTTTTCTGTGCGGCCAGCCTTGTTTTGATCAGCGCCTCCCTCTCTTGTATCATTATTGCCCTCTCCTCTTCATCAACCAGCTGCAGCTGCGCTTCAAATGCCTCGATTTCCTCCTTCGTTTCATCTACAGGCCACTCCGACTCAAAGTCAAAATGAGCGGCCCAGACTTCTCCGGCCAGCACACACAGCTCCAACTTCTCCTCGTCTTCTTCAATCTTTTTCTTTTCTTCTTCCAGTTGCTTCCGCATCTCTTCTTCTATCTTCCTCTTCTCTTCCTCTATCTTCTTTTTCAACTCTTCCTCTATCTTCTTTTTCAACTCTTCCTCCATCTTTTTTTCTTTCTCCTCCTCCTCCTCTTTCAACCGCCGATCTATTTCTGCCTGTTCCTCTGCTGTGTATGGCTTAGGGACTTTGCCGAACTTTGTGACCACGGTCATCCTAGTGGTCCGATGGAATCCCAGTGGGAAAATAAATTGCAAAAGGGGCCGTCCATATGACGGACACAAAGAGGAGTGCAAACATTGGGTAATCATCCATTGTAAGATATCAGTACAGCGGTAAGTGTGCTCCACCTCCTCACCACGTAGACTTACCCTTCAACCTCCTAATCTCAACCTACTTGAATCGGGGTCTAACTCGAACTTGACGGGATGACGTCTACAGTACTCGAGCAGCAGCAGCCATCACCAAGACAGTACGTGGAATTTTCACAAAAAAGAGCAGGCAGGGCTGAGGGCAGAAACCACTTCACTTGGGTCTTCACGATGCCGCTCCCCACCGATCTCGGTCTGCTGCAGGTACGGAGATCCCGCTCCAATCTTAATTCAACACCTTTTTATTTCTTCTCGCCTGCTACAGTGAAACCCCGACGCGCACACACCCGCCAGCCTTTTGCCTTGCTGGCTTTCTTCCACCACCGCAGTGCAACAGGTTCCAGCTCCGATACCAGTGCAATGAACCTCGCAAGATTCAACTCAAAATACAACATGCAATTGAGAACATTCAGATGACGTTCACACAAGCTTGAGCAGTGTCCATGAACAGTGCAAATTCGAAGTTCCACTCAAAGCCCAAAATATACACTTGAAAAAGTTTGGGAATAAGCGGTTTCAACCACCGCAACACTCCTCAGGTATGTACCTGACTCCCTCCTCCTCCTTCCACCTTTTTCTCTCTCGCTCTCTCTCTCTTTATGCTCTCCTTCTCTCTCTCTTTCACATGCATTGTTCCTCACTCGCTGTTCCTCTCTCTCTACAATGTCCCAGATCCACCCTGAATGCCTCTGCGGTGTGTCTCACTGCAAACGGGCGGTTATGGCCGCCAAACACTTCGTCTCCTCCCTCCTAGCTATGGTGGTCTGTTGCACCCAGGGTGCTGGTCTTCTTCCTCCCTTCAGCCTTCTTCTTCGTCCAGGTCGCTAGTCTGCACAAACTCCCAGCAGCGCTTTCACAAATTTGCGAAATGAACAACTGCCTCCTCTGGCACTGTAGTCCAAGATATATAGTTGCAGTGGACTGTTTCGTGCCTGCTTCAATCCGTACTAGCCTCCTTCAGTCTTTGCCTTGCCAATTGCTATTTTGGGAAATTTCACGACTTTCTTGTGAGGCTGCTGCAAAATTTCACTTTGGGGGACTTGATGTGCTCCTACCGGAACTGTACGGTACTGCAGCCTACCGACCTACGGCGTCTGATCCTACAGGCCCTAAGACTCTAAACAATTGGGGCCTGAACTGTGGTAATTAGGGACCCTAGAAGCGGGACTGGGAAAGCTTACAGCGTGAATCCATTCACTTTTTTCATTTTTCATTTTTTTTTTTTTTTTTCAAGCACAATGGGACCCAGGCTCGGCAAAACTCGGTGCGCAGTGAAATTCAGGGTCGGTAAAAACAGGATCGGAGGTAGTGGTGGTTTAACATTTCCTAGCAATTTTTTCCAACACGGCACGGCGCGTCCTTGGGGGTTCAGCCTACCAGATCTCTTTTGGTGGGTTGTTGATCTTAAACCACCAGCACTTCCGAGCCTCTTGTTCAAGAGGCACATTTGTACAGCGCGCTGAAAAAACACGAACCTGAGCTGGTTTCATTTGTTTTGGCGCGCTGCACAAATGTGCCTCAAAGTACTGGTGATTGAAGATCAACAACCCATATGCAAGTTGGGGAACGGTATGTACCATGTCCCCCTCGTTGTGTGTGTGTGTGTGTGTGTGTGTGTGCAGATTGCCTTACATCCTCTGGCTTTTCCTGTTATGTTAAATTCCACTGGAGAATCGAAGGAGGTGGGATGTATACACTCTAACAAAGTGAATATGGTATGTGGGAGAAAAAAAAACTATCCTTAGGTGGTATTGGATGTCACATAGCTAAGTGTAAAGTCACATAGCCAAGAAGACTTGCCCTGGTACTGACTGGTGCTCTAGTATGCTATCCTGGCCTGGGTCTCCTGGAGTGCCACAGTGTTGAAAAGAGATCATTGTGAACAGACGTCACAAGCAAGAAGATAAACCACCAGTCTGAGTTTGATTGAATGGCAGTGGGAATGTCTGGGAGGTTGTATGTAGGATGTGTGAATGGATCTCTGACATTGAGCTCTGCTTGTTGTCCTTTTGTCTTTTCTTTTGCAGTCCTCTATATCAGCACTCAGAAGCGGGGTGTAGGCGAATGACCACCCTCTGGACTTTTTTTTTTTGCAGGCACGCCAGGACTAATTTCGAGTCTGTGAGAGCTGTGAAGGGGTATTTGACACTGGCCGTGGGAGAGTTCATCTGCTAGGGGTAGTGTTTTACATGACCGCTTCGATTTTTTTGCCCCTTTCGATTGTGCGTGCCCTGTATACAAGGCAGGGCAAGGTTAGGTGGGGAGAGGATACGGAGGTGAGGTTTTTACTGTTCTCAGAGGGAAGTTCCTTGACTGAATCTTTACTCCTTTTTTCTGTAACCTAATTGCTAGGTGTAAGGGGGGCGGAATGCGAATCTTTGCTTCAGGGGAGTTCTCTCTTTTGCGTCTTGATAGGCTGTTGTGACCTTGCTGTTTGCTCATTTGGTTGTTGCAGCTCTCTATGTTGTTTCTTTTCATGAGAATTGTCATGCTTTGGTTTGGCGATGATGCGTATTTTGGGGGTGTTTAGTTTTTGTTTTGGTGAGGTGTAGTTTTGTAAGGTGTGTGGACAAGATCTTGATCTCACTTTTTTGTGAATACCAACGAGGTGTTGGACAGCTGAGTTGGAAGGAAGAAAGGGAGTTGTCTGCAGATTTGCATGGAGGGGTAATGCAAGAATGTGTCAGGGATTTTTCAAATGCTGAACAGGTTTACTGAAATGAAAAAAAGGAGGGAGATAGAGAGCTGTGTAATGAACCCAGTCTGGAGGAAACTCGTCAAGTGTCGAAGTACAAGATAACTCAGCGCTCATCAATGTCTCCAATAATCATGAAATGTAATCTGTGATACAATGTCTCGTACTCAGAGGACGAAGGAGGAGAGGGGGAGAATAGGCTTAGAGGGTGAAAGGGAAAGTATCAATCAATGTCCACGTAGATAGAAGCCCCCACATTCCCCTCTCCTTCTTCGGGTCTGGCCTCTCTGCCACGTCAGCAAACAGTGTCCAAGAAACGAGCCAGACAAGATCTAATCACAACGAAGCGCCACGCATGCATAGTTCTCCCATGAAGACGTCACAGCAGCGCGCAATGTCGCTATCAGCAACAGGTACCTCTCTCTCTCACTCAATCAATCCACAGATCCTGATCTCCCTCCTTGTCGCGTCCAAATCAGCAATGAAGACAGCGTGGCATGTGCCACGTCAGCAATGTCGAAGACAGCGTGGCATGCACCATGTCAGCAAGAAGACAGCTGGTGCCGGAGCAAGAAGGCGCCAGCACGTGGTACAGCAGTCTTGCGTCGTTGTCACACAGTGCCAGCGTTCAGCCAGCATCTAGTCAGTGTCGCACCAGCGTCTAGCCAGCGTCAACCCAGCGTCAAGTCAGCAAGGCATGACTGAGTGTTGACTCCCTGAGGCAGGGTCCATAAGTAGAGTTGACGAAGTTGACCTGCCTCTGGTCACACGCCCACGGAGGCTCAGATTGAATCGCAGCGGACGGCCTGGATTTCTTACAGTTACAGACTTCCACTTGGACCGAATGCTGGCTGGATACCTGCATACCAACAAGTGTGTGTGTCTGATCGGCGGCCTGGGCTGGGTCCATGCAGACTTCGACCATGGGCCGCTCTATAGTTGACTTAAGTAAACTATCGGGCGCAGGGCCCTTGAGCCGGCATTGGGCCTGCTAGCGGCCACTTAGACAACGGCAAGGCATATTGGAGCGGGTTATTGCATTCCTGCCGGCCCAATTTTAGAGTGCCATCGCAGAAATACATTTAACTTTCTTTTAAACCGCGCTCATATGCAGAGATAATGCCAGGAGCATTAGGTAATAGTTCTTTCTTGTTAAACCATCTAGCTTAAGACGGATGGTGAGACTTGAACTTTACCTTGAACTGCTTCTGCGGTCTTCCTCTGCCCCACCTGTGGAGAAGTATCCATGTTCCAGTATCTTCTCAACTTCATAGCCACCATTCATGGAACGAGGAAACATAGATGGCCTGCCAGGAAAATCATGTCCCCCTACATATGGTAATAGTTTAGACGCGTGGAACATAGGATAGGTCTTAAGGTGTGGGGGTACGTCAATTATGTATGAGGGTCCATCCGAATCCCCAATCACCTTGAGAACTTCCCAGGGTCCGTAGTAGACAGGCAGCAGTTTCTGAGACACATTTTCTTCTAAGGAAAATTCTTTAGACACCCATACAAGATCACCTTCTTGGAATTGTGATGGCCGACGATGCTTGTTGACCTGTTCAATCATTTGTAGTTGGGCTTTCTGTATGTTTTCCTTGACTCTCTTTTTGTCTTCCCTACATTTATAAAAGTCGCTAATGAATTTTGCCATCCGGGCCGTCCGCAGACCCATCGGCCCGACGCCCCGGATTGCCCCGCGATCTTAAGATCGGGTGGCAATTCAGGCCGTTCGCGGTCCTACCGGCCCAACGACCGGATTGCCCCGCGATCTTAAAACTTCAAGATCGCGGGGCAATCAGAGCCATTGGGCCGGCAGGACTACCAATGGTGTGGATCGCCTCGCAATGTTTGGACTACCGGCAGGGCCCTTTGTTTTTCTTTTGTAGAGGGCCAGGGCGGTTTTGGTCGTTGCAGGGCGGCGCTTTCCCTACACTGAAGTCCAACAGGCCCTCCCGCCTGCCCACCTCGACTCCGCCACTGGCTCCCACCTTTTGCCTCCGCCCACCTCCCTTTTTCTCCTCCAACCATCTCCCCTCCACCACCGCCCACCATCTGCTCTCGGTCTCCGCCCACCATCTCCTCTCGGTCGCTGCCCACCATATCCTCTCCGCCTCCGCCCACCTCTTCTTCGCCCGACACCCACCTAGCATCCACCTTCGCTCACCTTCCCTCCGCCTCCTCTTGCCATCGCCTCTCCGCCTTCGCCCACCTCCCCTCCATCATTGCCCACCATCTCCTCACTGCCTCCACCCACCTCTTCTCCGCTCGGG